CAACAACAACAGCAGCAACACCAACAGCAACAGCAGCACCAACAACAACAGCAACATCATCATCAACAACAATCAAGTGTACAACATAATCAATATTACAATGCTGTATCGCATAAACCCACACAATCCCCCAAGACATCGGTAGTCTTCCCTACAGCTCCACCAAAAACCCAAGAATTGCCCGTCAGACATGCATCTCAACCCTATCAACCTATTAAATTCCGTCCCACCCCAGCACCAGCTCCACAACAAACAAAACCCACACCAATTGCCGCCAAATTGGAAAACACACAATATAATACGAAACAGTATCAATTCCAAAAACAACCACAATACATACAACATCCAACCTTCACCCTATCTTCGCCCACATTGCCACCCAGTCAGGTGAATTACAAAACTCAAATACAATTGCAGCCACAAACTCAACAATACCAACAACATCAGCAGCAATATCAAACTCAAAATCAGCATCAATATCAACCACCAGCCCATACACAAACGCAACAGCATACGCAGACCTTCGCACAATCACAATCCTCTAGCCAGCCACAAACTAATTCCATTTACTATACCCAAAACAAAAATCAACAACAACAACAGCAGCAACATCAGCAACAACAACAGACACAAGTGCAACAGAATACCAGATATCAAACCCAATCTTCCAACCAACAAAGTTCCTCTACACTCCCCAATTTGAGTTGGTTGGATATTAAACCCTCTAAAGAAACCGAGTTGTTGAAATCGATACCCAAATTTGAGCAACACATAACCGAGACCGTGCAAAACCAATACAGCAACAATCAATATCAAACACAAAATCAGGTTATTCATGATATGCCAGCACCAAATTTGGCTCCTCAACCACAGTTGCAACAACAACAGCAACCTCAAAGTCAAGCATTGCATGGTCATTATATTACAGCTGCTCCTTACAACAGCCAATCTCAAGTGCATTCGCAACAGCAACATCAACAATCTTTTAGCAACTTTGTAACAGCCCAACAAAGTGCCCCTACCTCAACTCAAGCCCCACAATTCGGTGAAGCTACAGATGGACAGAAAATTATGATTGTTACACCCATGCCACCCAATGTTTACCAACAATATCAGGCTGCTCATTCTTATCAGAACTCACAAAGTTCCAGCAGCAATCAACAGCAACATTCCACACAAATTATTAACAGTGTACAACCTTCACAGGAACAATACAATAACTACTACCAACAACCCCGACAGGGACAACCAGCCACCCAGGCTCAATCCTCTCTAACAGCCAACAACTCACCTTACAGTGTTTCCAACTATCACTCGGATGTTTTTAAAGAATTAGAGCATAGAAACAGCAATACTCAAGAATCCAATAACAATCAAAATGCTTATATACCAACCAGTGCTGGATCATCTAGTACCACCACACCCTCTAGTACAACCACTTCTTCCACCACTGTAAATCCCAAAACGCTTTTGCAGTTGCCCGATGAAGTACCCGATGATTTGAGACAACAATTGTTATCTTCTGGTATCTTGGGTAATGCTGATATTTCTGTTTTGGATTATGACAAGGTGGGAGATATTGCTTTGGAAAACTTACCCGCTGAACATTTGCAACACTTTTATGGCGCCGGCGGTGGTGCCCAGATATCCGAATCGAAAAAGGTCTTAACGGTACTCAAGCCCAATGGCGATAAAGTATCGCTTGATGAAAAAGAAATACAACGTGTTAAACAATCCAGCTCAGTGCCCCACAACAAACAAACCGATGTTAAAGTAGTACGTTTCGATGGTCAAAAATTGGAAAATTCTGAGGCTCCCTTAACATCTGGCGAACGTCAATATAACAGATATTTGCCTTTGAAAATCAATGGTGCTAACTTCCCCAAACCAGACAATGAAGAGTTGAGAGGCAAGTTTTTGCAAAGTGTGGTAGTTTTGGCTCCAGTAGATACTCCCGTTGGGCAAGATGGTGCTGTAGTGGAGGACAGTAAAGAGGTTAAGTTTTTGGGCGGTGATTTAATTAAAACTTTAGTGAAAAAACCCACCAAGGAAAATTTCAAAAGATGGCTCGAAAAGGAGGCCAGAACAGATGTAGATCAACAGTCTGTAGTGTTGTTAGTAGCAAAGTGAGTATGATCTTAACGCAGGAAATCAAAGCTTTTTTTCAAATATTAAACTCTTTCCATTCTAGGTCTTCTAATTCTTCGGAACAAGAAATCTTTATGTATGACATAACAACCGGTGAAATTAATAAATTAAATGGCGAACTTTCCAGTAAATTCGTTAGTGTAGCTGAAGAGAACGCCAGCACGGAAGACTTGGAGCATGGCTCAACTTTGGATCCCAACTTTATGGAAACAATGATGCAGCCATTATCAAGTTAAATAATCAACTATAGACACTTCCTAGCTAAAAACAAAAACAAAAAAACAGACTGCTTGTATAATAAAATATCATTGGAATAGAAAACAGTAAACTATGCAATTGCAAATGTCACTCCTACTTGCAACAAACGAAAAAAAAGTGCCACAAAATCAACTTAATATAAGATCATTAAAATCAATGGTCCAGCAAGGAATTGCTTGCATACGTTATTACACATGACGCCATTTATTTCTTCATTTTTCATTTTAGTTGTGTATTTTTTTTATTAATTTTATTTTATCATCAAAAGTGTTAAACTCTTTAGTTTTACACTTTCAAAAAATGCTACATTAACATTTAAACTAAAAGTTTAGTCGTTGCTAAAACAAATGGCAAAATATTTGTTTTAAAATGACTTTAAATTAATTTAAACAATTAGAGCTAAATTAATTTTATAAATTCTTCTTCGTTCATTATTATTGTTATTATTATTTCCTAAATGTCTGTCTATCTGTCCGCCTGTCATTCGTCAAGATGAAAAAAAAAAAAACTAAACTCTATTGTAAAAATCTTTTTAGTTTGTATAAATTTATTAACGGTTTTTTAATCACCATGATTGTTGTTTAATTTTGTTTAGTTTTAATTTTCGAAATTATACAACAATCTGAGAATGATGAGATTGGTTTTGAAACTGTGGGTATTTTTCTTTAACATTAATAATTTTAGTTAATTTTTATTTTTTTACACATAAACTATTTTATTATTTTATTATTGTATTTGATTCTTGTAAATATGGAAATTATAAAAGAAAAACAAATTATATCTAAATTACTATTTTTAGTAAATAAACAAATTTTTATAAAAAATTTATTAAAAAATTATTTAAAGTGTTTGTTTTTATTAAAATTTTGAAAAGGATAAAATCGAAGTTATCGCTAACAGTTTAAAATGTTATAATATTCTAACATGTTAGAACGAGGGGAACTTTTCTAGAAGTAGTCTCATAACTGTTTTTTTAGATAGATAGATAGATAGATAGATAGATAGATAGATAGATAGATAGATAGATAGATAGATAGATAGATAGATAGATAGATAGATAGATAGATAGATAGATAGATAGATAGATAGATAGATAGATAGATAGATAGATAGATAGATAGATAGATAGATAGATAGATAGATAGATAGATAGATAGATAGATAGATAGATAGATAGATAGATAGATAGATAGATAGATAGATAGATAGATTGATTGATTGATTGATAGATAGACAACCGATAACTATGTATATCGACTTTGATAAATTCGCAGAGAGCCTTGCGACTCTCAAAGTTCTTACTTCGATTGTGATAAGAATGAAATATATTTTCAATAAAATTAACTCCCTGTTCTAACTTAAAAGACGCTCAGTCGAACTGTTACGATTCTAGGACATAGCATTCGGCGAAAATATGTCAAGGCTCTCACCTCGATCGTGATAAGATCAATTGTTTTCACACCCTGTCACAATTTAAAGACGCCCCCTCTAACTGATAGGAATACTTAGGGATTTATATGTAGCATATAATTCTTCTTTACTCTATTTGAATAAAATTTATGATATATTACCAGACTTCCGAGATTTAAAATTTCCGATTCCCACGAATATTATTTCTGAAATTTACTTGCCCAATTTCCCTAATACTTCGACCTTTGCATTAAAGTGACATTACTACAGGAAACTTTCAATTCCTTAAACTAATTTTCAGGAAATAAAACAAAATTTTTATCACTTTTCTATAACCTAGAACATGCCAAAATATAAAAACTACAGAACATAAAAACTGAGCAATAAAAACACATTTCGAATATAACGTTTTGGAATTTATTACCCATAATGGAAATTTGAATTCCCTCAAGAACAACACCTGCTAGTGTTTCAATTAAACTATTAAGGACTATATCGTTGTTTTATTATTATTGTAACAATAACTTATGGTTATTTAAACAACGCATTGGTCTCAATTAATAATAAATTTATTTATAATGATTAATGTGCTAAATACTCCGTCGACGTAGTCTGGTTATATTTATATTTCTTTTTGTCAATATTATTCTTTTGTATATGTTATTGTTTACCAGGTAAAGAGTTGATAAACTAACATTCGTAATTTAATAATAAAAAATATTAATACATGATCCAATATTTACTAAACCATCAATTTAAATAACAAACCAACACGTGATAGACAAACAATCGATCAACGTATACGTTCCGTAGTGCGGAAGTTGTAAGAAAGGCAGACATGCCACATATTTATCTTACAGATACAGGGTAATAAAGTCAATTAAGGTTAATTAATTGGAATTTGGTTATTTTCATAATCTATAACGTATAACCCATCAACCTGTTGAATTCCATAGAGCGCATGTCCTTTAGAATGGAAAAAAAGTGAAAACAAACAGAAACAAACAGCAAACATCATAAAAATTGTAAGGAAACTAATGAGGTGCTAATTGTTAGCATTGACACACAGACACTGACTCCTCCAGCACAAAAACACAGACACTCAATATTACAGTTATGATGGCATAACATTTTAGTTGCAATTTTGAATTCGTTATGTTTAGAAGCGCGAGCAAGTTGTGAAAATGTTAAAGCGATTTTTCGATAGAATTAAAAATTATTTTTTTGATAAATTTCAAACAAATGAATTTGCCTACGTTTTGTATCCGTTTTTGCGTATTTTTAAATTATTCGGATTTCTACCGGTGCAGTTGGAACCAAATGAGATTTTAAATGAAAATTATAAATTTAAATTGGATAAATGGTCATTTGTGGCTACATTTATTGGATCAATAGTTTTTATTGGTAATATTTTATTATCATTACATTAAAGTGATTTTATATAGAGTTTTTTAAGAACTAAACAATTATATCAATTATAATTGAAACAAATTTAATTCGTGAAAAATCATTTACTTAAAGCAATTGTGACGTCAATTATTTTAATTTGAAAATGGTAAAAAAATAATGGTCGAATTTTTTCGATTCTTGAGGGAAAAGGTGAGAAATGATAATATGGTCGGTCCCAAAAAAGAATCTTTTTTAATTCAGACGTCTCTTAACGATATACATACATATAAGTAAATTTCTGAAGCAAAATATAAGAAACACAAAATAAGCTTCTTTGCCAATATAAAAATGTTTTAACAGTTACAAACGATTTTAATTTTTTCAAGTTTTCGACCATAATTCCAATTTTGTAAGGAAAATATGGGTGAAAATAAGATCGTTTTCCAATGTAAACGTGTTTAGCGAAGTTGCAAATGGTTTTCAGCCTAGATCGTGAACGCATTCGCGGATACCATAAGCATTTGTCAATTTCTCCAAACCAATCATTTCGACAGCAATGAGAGACCTCAAAGCCGAAAAGCAGGCAATACACAAACCGAAAAAAATAGCAAAAGTCCACTGACTGGCACTGGTAATGACGACACCACTGAAAATTGTAGCAACACCACCAGCGGTAATGGCAATATTGTTTAACCATAAAGGCATAACACTGGGGAAGGATGAGACGAAACCACACAATATCCTAGCATTTGTATTGATCAAACCAATACCAGACACAACACCCAAAGCCGAACCGGTGTCCATGCCAGTCAATTCAGCTCTAGGCACCAAGTATGTGAAAGGTACGAAGAAGCCCATCATTGTCAAGAAACCGGAGATAGCGGATAGAGGTAGTAATGGCCAATCTGTCTTTTCCCAGATATATAGCTCACATAAGCTGAGGGAGGGCAGATTGACCACCACTTGTGAATTTTGTACTCATGGCGGACCAACAACTGGATACGAGAGTTTAAAGTTACGGTGCGATGTCTAAATAACCCAGTACCGGCGGCAAGTGTTGATCTACTAGCGAGGTGGGTACCTTAGCCTCCATGACGGTCAATGCGTCAAGTGTATAGTTAGTATGCAATTGGTAAAAATGTAGGGGTGAAAGAGAAGAATATACTGGGAGAGAGCTATAAGCTTACTCAGCATTTAAATATAAGTGAAGGTTCCGGCTTTCTGGAGCACATTGGAAGAAGATGCTTCATAGTGAATCATTTCCACGACACTCCAAAGGAAAAATCAGATTCTTTCTCCATATCTGAAGCAATGAGAATCAGGTTCCAAGGAACTGACGACTGAGAATAAACCAAAAAAGAAAAAGAGTTCCCCGTCTTCTAATATACAGTCGAAGCCAAGCCATAACTCAAAGGAATCTCAAACCCGAAAACGAGGAAGAAGCTCGACGGCGACAGAAGAAAAAACCGCCATCATACGCCGAAGTTTCCAAGAGAATAACCGAGACGATCATTGCTGTGCAGTATATGCTGGAAATCCGACAGACAAAATTCCTGTAGACCAGCAGAGTTAGGTAGAAGATCTGGTCAACAATAAGGTAATGGACCACGCAATCGCACAGTATCTTAAGTATCTACCAGGGGCCATATGACATATGATGTACATCGCTAAATTGATTCAAAAAGTGATTCTGAGCAGATTTGTATACTTTAAAATGTGTGTATAAAAAATATTTCTATGCTTTACGAACATCATTACAAACAGATAATACCCTCCCCACTATAGTTAGTTTTGTAGGTTATAAATATTTCTTCATTTTCCTCCAGGAACTCTAAAAACAACAAATATTACTAGAATTCAGACCTGGGCGATTTCCATTAATTTTACATTAACATTAAATTAAAAAAAATTAATTTAATGTAAAAAATATTGCATTAACATTAAATTTGTAAAATTTAATGCATTAAATTTCCATTAACATTAAATATTTTTGAATTTAATGCATTAATTTTGCATTAACATTAATTATATCTGAATTTAGTGCATTAATTTTACATTAACATTAAATAAGCAATAAAATTAATGCATTAATATTCCATTAACATTAATATATATAAAAATTGATAAACATAAATAAAAATACAGCACAAAAGACCTCGATCTAACTAAATACAACTAAAATTAAATAGGTTAAAGTCCTTTCTAATAACTCCTATATTCCATTCAATCTTGTGTGTTTTAAATATGATATTTATATAAGATTCCACAGACAAAATAAACTAAAAAAGGAATATCTGGGAAGTGATACTATTCTTCTAATAAGTATTATCGTGTATAGGACTTATTCGAAAGGACTTTAACAAAATAAACTAAAAAAGGAATATCTGGGAAGTGATACTATTCTTCTAATATGTATTATCGAGTATAGGACTTATTAGAAAGGACTTTAACACATTCAATTTTACTTGAATTTAGTTAGACCGAGGCCTTTAGTGCTGTATTCTTATTTTTATAAATTATTTTATACATTAATGTTAATGGAAAATTAATGCATTAATTTTATTATTTATAATTTAATGTTAATGGAAAATTAATGCATTAAATTCAAAAATATTTAATGTTAATGCAAAATTAATGCATTAATTTCACAAATATTTAATGTTAATGTAAAATTAATGCATTAAATTTAAAAATATTTAATGTTAATGCAAATTTAATGCATTAAATGTACCCATGTTAATGTTAATGCAATAAACTTGCATTAACATAAATTTTTTTTAATGTAGAAAAAATTGTTAATGCATTAACACATTTAATGCATTTATCCCAGGTCTGCTAGAATCAAGCATTTTATTAAAAACAATAATTTACAACATTTGTCGTTTTTTATTTCATTCACAGTGGGTTTCTATTTCGGTGTTATTCACCTAAGCCACACCAAGAATTTGGCACAACTGCATGAAAGTACCGTTATTGCATATTTTACTACTTGGGGTCAAATTGTATTCTTATTCGTCTTGGCATCCTATGGTTTATTGAATACCTGGTTTAATATCTCCAAAATGCATGGTTTGTTTTTATGGATTTCCAAAATAGATCATCAGCTAGAAGAAGTTACGGGTCGAGAACTAAACTATACACGTATGCGAAAGAAATTATTTATACAATTCTTTGTGGTCTTCTTAGTGCCTAGCAGTTTGTCGATGGTAAATTGTATTGTCATACATTTTGGTCCGAATAAAATAGATGTTTGGTCAACATGTTTTTGGTTTGTGTGTTTTGCTCCCATACTATTGCTGACTTTTAAGGAGTTTCAATTTTACAATTTAATGTTTGTGCTCAAAACTAAATTTGATATTATTAACAAAGAATTGCTGCAATATGGAGGTGATAATTTACTCTCGTGTCGTAAGAAGGTTAAGAAAGATGTATTGAACTCGGTTAAACCAGCTTGTTCTACGGATATTATAAGAAAACTTTTGGAAATCTATTCGAATACCGCTGATTGTGTGGATTTACTATTAAAGATATTTGGCTGGCATTTACTACTCTTGACCAGTGCTTCGTTTGGTGTTATAACGGTGCAGGGTTATAATTTATTTGCCGCCTTAATTGTACACACCATGGAAATGGATGGCTATCAGTTGACAGTTGTTACGGGCTGGATAGTAGTACAAATTCTGATTATAGGCTTAAATGTTGGTACCTGCGGCATGACCTCAAAGGCAGTAAGTTGTTTTTTAAACAAATTCCTTTCTATTCAAATATTTCTATGTTTCATCTTGCCTTCTCTAGATGTCTTTAACTGGCCCCCTACTGCACCGCATCAAGACAAATTCTCTTACAAACTGCAGTTTCTACCTAAATGTAGAATTATTTTCCTTTGAAGTGTTGCATCGTAAAAATAATTTCACTGCTGCTGGCTTCATTGATATGGACTATAAACTAATAACCTCGGTAAGTGTTTAATAAATATACAATTTTTATAATGCTTTTAATTTATTTAATTTCCTTTATAGATAATTGCTGCTGTTACCACTTATCTGCTGATTATCATACAATTTCACTTTAGCAGTCTACAGAAAAAAATTACTAGCGACTAGAATAGGATTTTAATTTTATTTTACTGTACCCTGACATTATTGTGATTGAAAAAAAGCTCCTATTTCTTTGTGGTTTGTGTCTAAGTTTAAAGCAAATAATACAGTAACTAAATAAAGCATAAAAAAGCTTTCAGTTAAAGCTTATTTATTTTTCATACTAAAAGTATGCTCTGTTTTTTTATACAAAAGTTGTTTATGGTTGCCACATGAAAATAAAAAATTTAATAAATAACTTTCAGAAAATAGTACAACTAACTACAGTATTGCCAGAAAACTTTGACTAATGTCCCAAAAAAAATATCCATTTTTAAATTGAAATCCCCATTTTTCCTAAAACAAGCAAAAAGTTAAGATTTTAATCAAAAATTATTAATATAAGTTGAAAAAAAAAAAAAAAATTTTAATTTTTCTCCTTCTTTGCAAGATTGTTGGAATTTGCACCCAAAGACTTTCTTGCCTTTCAAAAAGATCTGAGTTGATTTCTCAATCAAATAAGACTAAACATTCTAGTATATTTGCGAATTTATATTCGTCGGATTTGAAAACCTAGCGTTGATTATGGCATGTGAACAAAAAAAGTATAGTCTATAGTCTACTCTATAGTCTACTCTAGTCTATAGTCTAGTCTATAGTCTAGTCTATAGTCTAGTCTATAGTCTAGTCTATAGTCTAGTCTATAGTCTAGTCTATAGTCTAGTCTATAGTCTAGTCTATAGTCTAGTCTATAGTCTAGTCTATAGTCTAGTCTATAGTCTAGTCTATAGTCTAGTCTATAGTCTAGTCTATAGTCTAGTCTATAGTCTAGTCTATAGTCTAGTCTATAGTCTAGTCTATAGTCTAGTCTATAGTCTAGTCTATAGTCTATTCTATAGTCTAGTCTATAGTCTAGTCTATAGTCTAGTCTATAGTCTAGTCTATAGTCTAGTCTATAGTCTAGTCTATAGTCTAGTCTATAGTCTAGTCTATAGTCTAGTCTATAGCCTAGTCTATAGTCTAGTCTATAGTCTAGTCTATAGCCTAGTCTATAGTCTAGTCTATAGTCTAGTCTATAGTCTAGTCTATAGTCTAGTCTATAGTCTAGTCTATAGTCTAGTCTATAGTCTAGTCTATAGTCTAGTCTATAGTCTAGTCTATAGTCTAGTCTATAGTCTAGTCTATAGTCTAGTCTATAGTCTAGTCTATAGTCTAGTCTATAGTCTAGTCTATAGTCTAGTCTATAGTCTAGTCTATAGTCTAGTCTATAGTCTAGTCTATAGTCTAGTCTATAGTCTAGTCTATAGTCTAGTCTATAGTCTAGTCTATAGTCTAGTCTATAGTCTAGTCTAGTCTAGTCTATAGTCTAGTCTATAGTCTAGTCTATAGTCTAGTCTATAGTCTAGTCTATAGTCTAGTCTATAGTCTAGTCTATAGTCTAGTCTATAGTCTAGTCTATAGTCTAGTCTATAGTCTAGTCTATAGTCTAGTCTATAGTCTAGTCTATAGTCTAGTCTATAGTCTAGTCTATAGTCTAGTCTATAGTCTAGTCTATAGTCTAGTCTATAGTCTAGTCTATAGTCTAGTCTATAGTCTAGTCTATAGTCTAGTCTATAGTATAGTCTAGTCTATAGTCTAGTCTATAGTCTAGTCTAGTCTAGTCTAGTCTAGTCTAGTCTAGTCTATAGTCTAGTCTAGTCTATAGTCTAGTCTAGTCTATAGTCTAGTCTAGTCTAGTCTAGTCTAGTCTAGTCTAGTCTAGTCTAGTCTAGTCTAGTCTAGTCTAGTCTAGTCTAGTCTAGTCTATAGTCTAGTCTAGTCTAGTCTAGTCTAGTCTAGTCTAGTCTATAGTCTAGTCTATAGTCTAGTCTATAGTCTAGTCTATAGTCTAGTCTATAGTCTAGTCTATAGTCTAGTCTATAGTCTAGTCTATAGTCTAGTCTATAGTCTAGTCTATAGTCTAGTCTATAGTCTAGTCTATAGTCTAGTCTATAGTCTAGTCTATAGTCTAGTCTATAGTCTAGTCTATAGTCTAGTCTATAGTATAGTCCATAGTTTAGTCTATAGTCTAGTCTATAGTCTTGTCTATAGTCTGGTCTATAGTCTTGTCTATAGTCTAGTATATAAAGTTTCTTACAACAGAACTGCTTAGTTGTTTTATTGTGCTGCAATTAGAGTACTTCAAAGTAATGCAGACGGTAAGTAGTTGTAATTGAAAAGTATGTTGCTGAGTAAGTACAAGTCATTACCAGGTTTTTGCTGGATATTATACCGCTTTCAATTTCTTATGATCATTTTATATTTATTTCATTATTTTAAAAATAAGACTTTCTTTATACTAAATACCTTCACCTGGATTGAGTTCAATAAATTTAAAATTACTTAATTGATGTTGATCTTAAAAGTTAGCAGTTTCGTTAACCTTTAGTCAGCGTGGGTGATCTTTTCAATTTCTTCTTTTAAGAAAAATGTATTTAAATGATAAAAGCACTAATTAGCACTTAGTTATAATAGGTTGAAAGACTTGTCTTTGTGTGATCATAGAGCAGTTTTAGATTTTATGATTAATTTATTTAAGTATTTATTGAACAATTTTCGAAATTTTGCGAAAACATTAAAAAATTAACAAGAAAAACAAACAGATATATGATAACAATCAAAAAATCAACACATGTGCCACCAAACAAGGGAATCAATCCAATGAATGGAACGTGACTTGAAGCGCGTGCATTTATTTTTACAAGTTAGAAAAACGAAGTGATTTTTTTGTTGATTCGAGTTATAAAAAAAAGAAAATAATTGCTAAATTTAAATAATTAAGTGTTTTGAAGAGAGTTAAGTAAATGTCTCTTATATTTGAGTAATTTTGTTTAAGAGAATATTTTGGTCAATTGTTGCCATACTTAGCCAAACATTGGAAATTTGGGGATTTAATGTAAATAATTTGCAATCATGTGATTTATAATTATATCTTGTTATCATATAAAAATTAAAATTTATTAAATATAAAAAAAATATTTTCAAAAAAACCTCTCATGGCAATTATCATTTAACATTGAAGTTTTGAAAATTGCTGTAACATTTTTAAGGGGATTTACATTTATTTTTGGGTGTTTGAATTTTCATTTAATCTGTTTTTTTGCAATTCTATTTATGACTTCAAAACTGGTTGATTTTTCTTTTGGTGTTTGTAGTTGAAAACGCGTAATGGCTGTATATGAGTGAGATTTTCAAATTAACTAAACTTTAGTAATTATTTATTCAATTATCAACCAACCAACAAACTCTTGCCAACAATTTTTGTGGTTTTGGTAACCGTCAGTAAACACCCAATCGTCGAATGTTATAAAAATGTAATTTAATTAAATTTACATATTTGTACGTTGTACATATTCATGAAATTTAAATTGATTGCAATTCAAAGCCGGTCTGGTCCATCCTGTTCGTTATTTATTTATAAATCCATTTTTATTTATTTTCGTATTTTTTTTAATATTGTATATTGTGGCGTCAATATTTTTATCTATTAAGTTGAAAAAACAACATGACAATAACAACAATAACGTATAAACAACAACTTCACCTAAAAATAAATGTGTTTTTTTAATCAAATAAAATTGGGAGGTATTTAAGCGAAAATACATATTTTGAACCAACAACAACAACAAAAAAGTAAATTTGTCAACAACTTGCTTGTTGAATATGGTTTATTTTTTTATTTTTATAATTTTCTATACTGGAGAAACAGATGTTGTTCCAAAAATGCAATATGTATTTATTTTTATCAACTTTACAAAAGTTTTGAGAGATATATGAGAAAAAATCATCAAAATATTAGAAAAAGAATTACAGTGGGCACTACAAGTGACAGCTAAAAGTTAAAATATTTAAATATTACACGACTTAGATCCGAAGAAATACGCCTATCGGGCCTGTTATGCGCTTCTTTACATGGAAAATGTTGGCAAAAAAACTTTCTATAGTGCTCTATTAAGGTATTATAGTACGATGTTCAAAAACCTAGTTTTCTGGTCGTAGTTCCTCAGAATTATCTAGTCGGTGTTTCTGAGGGATGATATGCGGAATAACAACGCTTGCACGATATTTGGATCTAATTACGACGAAAGTACGACAATGAGAATGAAAATGTTCCACAGTTTCACTGCCTTCTCCGTATTATTTTGATTCGTTTGAATCTGTTTGTCCAATTTTATATAGTTGTCCACTCAGAATACATACCACCATAGTATCCTCAGACTTGTTCATTCTTGGTTCATTGACATTCGCTCGCCATGTTTTTAATTAAACCAACGTTACGTCGAACGGTTTTTCGAATATCGAATACGATATCGCCCTAATTGCCTTCTGGCAGTCAATATTGCAGGGACTAGTGTTTTAATTAGGTAGACGGTAGTATATTTCGATTTCTGGGATTTCAATGTAGATCCTTAGGACCTTTTTGTCTCCCAGTTTAAAGGCATCTGTGTAGCTACGGTTGCTAAATAACAAACTAAATGCTAATTTTTGGAGGATATGAACGAGTAAAGCTAGTTTCGAATGCCCTATTTTTAAGTTAAGCTTATTCTAGTGAAAGTGTTCTACATTGATCAAAACAAATAGTAAGCGAACGGGATAAGGAAACAACTTACTAACTAACGGAAATCTAATGTCTAATATACCAATTAAAACTTTCGTTTGTCTTATAACTCACTCTATATAGAGCACAATACCAGCACTCTAACATCCATATTAGCTTAATAAATAGACGTAAGCAAGTCCGATCATAGTTTAATGTTTATTGTAAAAATCATAATAACAGAAAAACAAGTTAAGACTGCACTTTTATATTTTGTTGTTATTGTTATATTGTTAAATTTTGTTGTTGTTGTTTTTCTTGCCACAACCACACACCATAGGAGTGCTATTTATAGATCATATTGTAAACAAACAAATAATAACTTTTGCAGATCTTTGATCACGTTTACTTATAAAAAAATACTGCAACAAATAAACAACAACAAATTATTGTCAGTACGAGAGAAGTTGTACTAGTTGCATGTAGTCGCAATTACCCCCAAACCAGGCCTAAACCAACTGCCGCCAACTTCATGTTGTTTTTCTTGAATAAATAATGTACCATTTACAACATGACACCCGTTGAGTGGTTAAACGGATAAAGTACAGAAATACGATTAAGAAAAATTTAATATTTTTTCATGTTTAGAAATCTAAATAAAGAAAAGTTAAGACATAACTAGTCACGTGACTAGTTACCAGGGTATAAAGCTGTGCAATATATTTTTGGTTTAAATATTGTCTGTTTTAACAAGTAAGCTCATATTAAGGAAACACTGGCATTTTTCCAAAAAATAATATTAATATTTTATAGGTAGTCATTGTCTGAAGAAACCTATGTTAGACCTTTCTTACACACAACGGCGGTTTGTAGCCGTTGTTATGATCAATTACTGGGTTTTTCTCTTGTTTATAGTTTTTGAATGTTTTTAAGCGGTTATTTTTACTTGTTGCTAAGTGCACATTTATTTTTATTGAAAAATTATACTTATATTTGGTAAAGTTTTCGTTATGTTTTTAGTTTTTATTGCAACAAACGTCAGTAAATTAATAAACAGTTTTTTTTTGTGGTATTTTAAAGTGAATTTAACGCCATGTTGCCAATTTTTTTTTGTTCAAGACAAACTTTTCTGAAATTTTTTTAAGCTTTTTGTCATAATTTACGAAAATTACTGAAAATGTAGGTTACAGATTTTTCAGACGTTAAAAATAATGAATCACCAGCAATCTCAAGTAGTAATTGAAGTTTTTTCGACATCCAAAACAAAAACAAAGGCTTTGTGTTTAAAACCAAATAAAAAATCTTAAGGATGAAATTGAAAATTTATTGCTGAACTATAGAGACAGCTGTTTTAAAGTGAAATTAAAGCAAAAAATTGTATATAAGCCGAGTTTAGTATTATTGTAACAAAAGATCTGTTGAAAATTAAAGAGATTTTAGATTTTGTTTTAGAAAATGCTCTTTAGTTATTTTGAAAGAGCGTGGCTTAAAGAGTTTTTTCTCTTTATAGCTATATTGTTGTTAAAAGTTTAATGCAGGTATGGAAAACACAATTTTGAAATAGTATTAACTTATATTAAAAGTAGTACTTTTTTGGTTTCAAAGTACTAAACCAATTTTCCGCTAGACTATAGACAAGATTATAGAGTAGACTGTAGAGTATACTATAGAGTAGACTATAGAGTAGACTATAGACTAGACTATAGAGTAGACTATAGAGTAGATTATAGAGTAGACTATAGAGTAGGCTATAGACTAGACTATAGAGTAGACTATAGACTAGACTATAGACTAGACTATAGACTAGACTATAGACTAGACTATAGACTAGACTATAGACTAGACTATAGACTAGACTATAGACTAGACTATAGACTAGACTATAGACTAGACTATAGAGTAGACTATAGTCTAGACTATAGACTAGACTATAGACTAGACTATAGACTAGACTATAGACTAGACTATATACTAGACTATAGACTAGACTATAGACTAGACTATAGACTAGACTATAGACTAGACTATAGACTAGACTATAGACTAGACTATAGACTAGACTATAGACTAGACTATATAGACTAGACTATAGACTAGACTATAGACTAGACTATAGACTAGACTATAGACTAGACTATAGACTAGACTATAGACTAGACTATAGACTAGACTATAGACTAGACTATAGACTAGACTATAGACTAGACTATAGACTAGACTATAGACTAGACTATAGACTAGACTATAGACTAGACTATAGACTAGACTATAGACTAGACTATAGACTAGACTATAGACTAGACTATAGACTAGACTATAGACTAGACTATAGACTAGACTATAGACTAGACTATAGACTAGACTATAGACTAGACTATAGACTAGACTATAGACTAGACTATAGACTAGACTATAGACTAGACTATAGACTAGACTATAGACTAGACTATAGACTAGACTATAGACTAGACTATAGACTAGACTATAGACTAGACTATAGACTAGACTATAGACTAGACTATAGACTAGACTATAGACTAGACTATAGACTAGACTATAGACTAGACTATAGACTAGACTATAGACTAGACTATAGACTAGACTAGACTAGACTATAGACTAGACTATAGACTAGACTATAGACTAGACTATAGACTAGACTATAGACTAGACTATAGACTAGACTATAGACTAGACTATAGACTAGACTATAGACTAGACTATAGACTAGACTATAGACTAGACTATAGACTAGACTAGACTAGACTATAGACTAGACTATAGACTAGACTATAGACTAGACTATAGACTAGACTATAGACTAGACTATAGACTAGACTATAGACTAGACTATAGACTAGACTATAGACTAGACTATAGACTAGACTATAGACTAGACTATAGACTAGACTATAGACTAGACTATAGACTAGACTATAGACTAGACTATAGACTAGACTATAGACTAGACTATAGACTAGACTATAGACTAGACTATAGACTAGACTAGACTAGACTATAGACTAGACTATAGACTAGACTATAGACTAGACTATAGACTAGACTATAGACTAGACTATAGACTAGACTATAGACTAGACTAGACTATAGACTAGACTATAGACTAGACTATAGACTAGACTATAGACTAGACTATTGATTAGTCTGGTCTATAGACTACTATGTGGACCACTTATGAAAGTTTATAAGTTAGAAAAAGTACCGAAAATGTCGCGGGGATACCGCAGATATCAAAAAGTACCGAAAAAAGAACTAAAGTACTGATTTTTCCATGTCTGGTTTAATATATATATATTTTTTTAAGAAGTGGTCTTTTTGCATTAAGTTTTAACCGAACAATGAAAACATTAAAATAAGCAAGACTCAGCTGGCGTGAGCACTTCCATAACAGCAATATTTTGTGTTTATCTTGTCTGCCAACACTAACACCACCACCGCTAACGGCCACCACTACCAACAGCTCTACCCACATTTCTTCTAGCTAAATGACTAAATGCCTGGCTGAGTGTTTGCTCAGCCATATGCTGCTTTAGTTATTAACCAAAAGTTAAGATCAGTTCAAGTTGTGACTCGATCGCGAACAGTTTGTTGATCGTAAAACTGACGCAAAATTTAAGTAAAAGGCAAAATTTAAAAATTAAAGAAAAAAAGTATTATTTGCAAAAAAAATATAGAAAACGAGAAGAGTTTTTTTAATTAAATTAAATTTTGTGTGCAATTTTTTTTGTAATTGAGAAAAGAGCATTTATATACCCCCATAAGCGGCCGCAGACAGCAGACTGAGTATTGTAAAAAATAAATGATGAAAAAATTTAACGAAATTTCGAAATCTTCTACAAGAACTTCTGCTTTAAAGTGAGGTTGTGTTATTTTAGCTCAGTTTCTATAACGTTTTTCGTTGCTTTTTTTCGTCTACGGTTTTGCGGGACTAAGAGAGTACGCGTCTGTGAGAGAGTGTTATTAATTTTCATTTGTTTAAAAAAGTGTTAATTAATTGTAATAAATTTGTAATAAAAAAAACATAATTTTTAATAATAACAAAATGTTTTAAAAGATTTTTAAGAATTTCTTATAAAATAAAACAAAGAAGAAATTGAAAGATCTTAAAAAAAAAGTGAAGAAAAACAAAACAAATACAAAATGGTTGCAACTAAAACTAAAAACAACTTTAAAAGCCCAAGTGGCAGCAACAGTAAATGCCTGTGCAACATTAACAGCAAAGCAAATACCAAAAATTTTATAAATTTAAATAGCAATTATGCCAAAATTAAAAAACATCATTACACCCACAAAAGCAGCAATAACAACAACAGCAGCAAAAAGTTTAATTTAAAATTAATAATCGGTATTTGGTGTCTACTGCACAGTGTCACTGTTATACAGGGTGCTGCCGTTTATACAAGTATGTTACAAAATACCTTCAAAGATTTACATAAATAAATTTTACAAAATTTCATAATATTTGGCTGGTTTTATAAAAATAGTTTTCAGTTTGTTTTGGGGTTTTATGTTAATAATTTGTTTATAAGGAAAACAAATTTATATAAAAAAGTTGTTGGATTTTGTTTTTTGTACCGATCAAAGTCAAGTTTTTTTTTTCAATAAAACTGCATTTGTTTTGTGCAACTAACTATAAAATAAAATACACATTTATTCATAAATCAACTGCAACTTATTTATAGTTTGAAACTAGCAATTCCAATTAAACTGGTTTTCAAAGTGACCGTAATTGACCGTTAGTAAATATAAATCGATATTTTTCTTATTACAGTGTTGGCAATTTAGCGATGATGTTACCTATTAAGAGATGGGACTTTGTTTATTTGTCCCTGACAACTATAAATTATTTAAATATTTATTATTAATTAATTTATTTAACCAAACAACGTTTTATCAATAAGTGTTAATTGATGAATCAATAAGTATAATTAATTAATAAATAACGTAATCACATGTGGAAATTAAAAACAAAATAATAATGAAATAAGCTTAAAATTTAAAATTAATTAATTAATATTTCAATAGTTTAGTTGATGAACCTGTTGTTTGGCTAATATCCTCGACTTTGAGCAAAAAATTAAACTCTACCGCTTTAAAACTGTCTAACATTGTCTATTTTCCCTTTTTGTTCGCCATAAACAAATTCGAACAGATAAACATCAGCTGTAATTGCTGTAATAAAAACATAAATATTCCTAGAGATAAACTCATTTAAAAATTTTATTATTTTAACCCAAAAATCTCTGAATGAAAGTATCTTTCTGTTGTCTAATTTATAGATAAAATTGTTTTGAATGTAAAACAATTGCGAAAAAGCAATAAAAGAATTTAACCAAGTTTATAGTCGTAAAGAAATTGAATATACTGTAATTATAAATAATTGTTATTTTATGGGATTTAGCAAAAAAGAAAAAAAAAAATATTCCATAAATTTTAAAGAAAAATTTAGAGTGGAATATTTTTTTAAAAATTTCAAAAAACAAAAAAGTTTATTTAATAATTGCAGCTGCTTTTATTTTCTTATATGTTTATCTCTTTATTAAAATTCCACTACGCAATTACAATTTTAATTGTAATTGAGCATTTAACTTGATTTATTGCATTACCAATTTCTTTATTCTTGACTTTTGTAAGTGTAATTGACTGATAATGTAAGTACTTATCGTATTGAATTAAAATGAAATTGAATATTACACTGAGTTATAAAGTCGTGATCGAATATTTATTACATTTTGAGGAAATTTTCGACATTAAATATTTTTTTACTTTTTAATAGTTAATTTATTTGCGTTTTCAACAGTTAAAGTCGAATTTTTGTCTTACATTTAAATCTGGCAACATTTTCTTAGAAAAATTTTTACTTTTTATACTCTACACCACTATAATATTAGCGTTGGTGCTGATTGGTCCTACACTCATCTTAAAGAATACTAATCGGCTCAGAATCACTTTCTGAATCGCAGCGCACGCTAGAGGTCGAAATTTTAAAGTTAATTTGATCAAATTTGGCACATACTCTTCTTTTGGCTCAAGGACGATTGACTCTATTGAAAATGGTTAAAATTGGTCTATTATTTCGCCTAGCCGCCATATAAACGTAACCTCAGATAGGGCTTTTTGCTGGATTCATTTGGCTCTAGGAGACAAAGTCCCCTCCAGAAAATGACTTTAAGGTCAAAATTCACTAATCTTCACTAATATCACGATGAAGTTCTGCATAAATTACTTCATAAATAACACCTCTTTTAGAAAATCTCTTTTTTCTGCAAAATATTTCTAAATTAAAGTAAATATCAAAATGTATGCTAAGTCTATTCGACTTTTTGGTAAAAAACCGACTATTAAACTGTTTTATTTCAAGTCGATTTATCGACTTCGTTTTGACAAAACAGTCGCGACTAGCGAAGTCGACTACCTAATTCTCTTTAAGGAAAAGTCATTTTTGAAAAAGTCGAAATAAGTTGATATAAAAAACTAATTAACATCTGATTTCATTGCTACAGACTGACATAGTTATTGTGGGAAAAAGGTTGACTCTGTAAATAAAGGTCGAAAAAGTCAATATAAGAAAATTTTGCTACAGATGGACATATCTATTGTTACAAACGTACATATTAATAAAATCAGTATAAAATCTATGGCCCAAAATACTGATTTTGAAGTCGAAATGTCAAAGAAAAGTCGAAAATTGGACAATTTCAAAATTGTAAAAAATCAACCTTTCATAAATTGCAAAGTCGAAAAGTCGACATTTTTGTTTCAACTATAGAACCCTACTTTAGCTGTTCTTAATATTTTAGTTCGTTGCACAATTTCTCGCAAGTCTCTCTAGTCGACTTCAATTTTTCGACCTTTTTCTTATCGGTTTACTATAATTTGTTTTTAATAGTACCGAACTTTCCAGCCCTGGCAAATAGTGATATTAATTAATGACTTACCTTTGTTCCATTTAAATTTAAAGTTTCCCTTGTTATACTCCCATCTTCTTTCAATCAATAATTTGCAGTTGTTTTGTTTATTTTTTCATAACAAAAACAAAGTCAAACGAAATTACCCAACAAAAACAATAACAAAATCAGCAGACAAATTATTCCGATCATATTTTTCTAATAACAACACCAGCAAGCAAAACATAAACAAAACACTTATGCTTCTTCTTGTTTTAATTTACTTTTCATATTGAAAGTTGCAAATTTTTAGAGATTTTTTTTAAATTTTATTAAAAATATTATTGACTTTCTTTAAATTATTAATTATTTTCTATTAAACACTTATTTCCTTTAATATTTTGATAAAATTATTAACAAAACACTATGATGAGAGGGTCAACTTGCCGGCAGCTGCCCAATATCTTAAAATTTCTCTTCTTTACACAAGATTTTTATTTTATTATAACAATAATATAATAATATTCTATTAAATTAACACCTTTATTAAAAAATTTACACTTTAATTTCAACAAAAACTTTTATTTAAATAAACTTCTTCAAAGCGTTATTAGCCCACCACGAATATTTAGCAACAACTAACACTAAATGAGCTCGAAGAAAAACAAAAGAAGAGAACAAAACAAAAGGATGTTAGCACAGGGTGTTTCCTAATAAAAATGAATGTTTCAAATAAAATTATTATGCGTTAAATTTAAATAATAATTTAAAACATTGGAATTACAAAAATGATTTAACAATAACAAATCTAATGTTTAATTAGAAGACAATTAGTTATAATTTCTTTTGTTAAAAGAGAAATTTAATCCTTATTTAAACAAAAACACATGTTTATTGTTTTCTTAAAAAAAATTTTAAATTCGAAATAAAATGCTTTAGTTTATTATTGAAATAATTTTTTCCTAAATTTTAATTTCTATAGTCTTTATTGAATAAAATTTTAAGCTAATTTACATTTCTATAGAAAATAAACATCAAAGTTTGTCAAAAGCACATCTAATCATTATCTTAAAGTTTAGTAATATTTCAAAAACTATTTGTTTTTTGTTTTTTTTTTTTTTTTTTGGGGTAAATTACCACATTAACTGGAAACAAATAGTTAAAGTAGAAAACAGAAAATGGTTATTTTGCGGAACATTAAATTTAAGTAACAAAAGGCCAGTAAACGCACAAATGAAGCATGTTTTTCAGTTTCAAGGATGAAGATTTCAAAATATTAATAAAACCCCCCAAAACTACAAGCAAAACTAAATGACTAAGAACTAAGTAAACGATGATAATGATAAATAGAGTACAGCAGAACTTTTAAAGTATTCACTTCCTTATAAAGTTTCAAAATACCAAAACTAATGCTTTCAATTAAATGGTTGGTAAATATTAACTTATAAATTAAAATACCTTAAGTTTTCTTTACCGCTTTGAAACAAGTTTAAATTCTTTTAAGTTCCGCTTGCTAGTTTCATAGACAGTCATAGAGGAGACAGACAGACAGCCAGCCAGCCCCATTAGGGAAAAACCAGTGCAGTCAAGTGCATCCATAATGTTTGACTACATTCGCTTAAACTTTCAAGTTTTCCCTCCATACCTTCATTACATTGTTTTTAAAAGATAATTTTTAAAACATTATTTTGTGAAAAAACAAGTTTCCATGATTAAGCGCAAAAACTTCATTGTATTCGTAATTTTTGTTTTTATTTTCTACATAGTACACTTTAGTTATCAAGAGGGCATAATAAATTATGATAAAATATAATTAAATTAGAAATTCTGTTAAAAATTTTTATTTATTAAGACGGATGTAATTTTGTAAGTGTAAAAGTTTTTATGCTAATATTTTTTAAGAGAGTAAAGTTTAAAAGAAGATCACTTAACATTTTCTGAGCTTAAGAAAATCCAAAAGGTGTATTTGAAAAGTATTAAATTGAGGAAATAATTTGGAACGGGACATTTTCAAATTTTGGTACAAAATGCAAGTTTTTCACTTACTCTAAATAAATGTTTTTGTGTTATCCTGTTGTTTTAGTTTCAGCGTTCCCGGCAAAAACTACGATGCCGCTGATGTTTTGAGGAATGATCTAACGTAGGATTTAGGGTTCTATAAATCGACTTTCGAATAATCGAACAATCGACTTTTTGTCGAAAAAAGTCGAAAAGTCGAAGTCGACTATTTTGTTCCAAAAAAGTCGATAACTCGACTATCGTCTATGAAAAAAGTCGAAAAGTCGACTTTGTAAATAAAAGTCGAAAAAAGTCGAAAAGTCGAAAAGTCGAAAAAAGTCGAAAAGTCGAAAAGTCGAAAAAAGTCGATAAGTTGAAAAAAGTCGAAGAAAGTCGAAAAAAGTCGAAAAGTCGAAAAAAGTCGAAAAGTCGGAAAAAGTCGAAAAGTCGGAAAAAGTCGAAAAGTCGAAAAAAGTCGAAAAGTCGAAAAAAGTCGAAAAGTCGAAAATAGTCGAAA